TAGAAATCTCTTTTTTAATAATTAAAATTATCGTTGTGAGCACTCCTTCTTAAATTTTTGGGCTCCAAGCGCCTGAAAGTACCAAAAAATCTCTGCCCAAAGACCAACAAAATTAACACAACTTGTGTTAATTCCGCACACAACTTGTCGAATAACTATCTCTCTGGTCCGCAACATCACAAAAATTATGCAAAAATCGCGTTGCTTTTTCCGGAGAAGTGTCATTTTCCGCTCACGCAACCGAAACATGCAATTGTAAACTGTTTTTAATTAAATTATCGTGACCCTGAATTCCAGTGGCATTCCAAAATTACTGGCATTATATGTTTACAACCGAGTTATTCGATATAAAAAGAAAGTTAATTAGACGGCTTAAGATCGGCATCGCGGAGAGAAATTCCAGGGCAAAGTGCGGAGAGAAAAGAGTGGGGAAATTATAGAAAGTTTGCGTGTCCAAAGTTAGTGGAAGGTCTGGAGTAAAGAATCAATTTGCGGGCAGTCCACATTTCCCGATTAGAATTACGATTTTCCTCCCGTAGTCTACGTGGTATGATAGCAATTTCGCATTGAAAAATCCCTGGTACTGATAGGTACCAGGGGGTTGTCAATCGAATCTATTGACAGGGGAAGTACCCCAAATGCGACGCTCAGACTTTCTTAAAATTTTGCACACACGCATTTACTTCAGCGATGTGATTGGCGCTTTTATCGACTTTAAGATATTTCGAGAACGCGTGAGTCATAATTTTCCTATTATAATTTGCCCTCTTTGCTGTTTCCGACAAACAACGAACTACCTTCAATGTCACAACCACCAAACTTCTAAAAACAGACAAAAAGTCCTCTGTCACCAAGCAAACTGATTGTCTTTTTTCTCAAATTTCCAAAAACTTGCTTAAAAATTCTGGGCTACAAAAACGGCCAGGAAGCCGGGTTACTCAAAAATATCTCCAAAAACACGACGTGACATTAATTTGTACCATTTCCGGATTAATGGCATCCGGAAACGATAATTTGTGCAAATCGTGGGAAATTGGAAAATCTTGGAAGAAAAAATGATGCGATTAGACTCAATATAGAATCATAGCAAGAGTTTTATGTCAAGGAATGGGAAAGAGAATGGGAGATGAGACAAACTTTATCAAAAAACAAAGTAAATAAAAAGAAATCCCATAACTCTCAAAAAATTGCATGTTTTCTTACTAGTCGTTCCAGAAAGTGCGGGCACTTTTTGTCGTTGGCCGCACAGTGCACAAAATTCCCTTCTTGCGGGGTGCATTTGACCTTTTGCATTGTGCAATTGCAATATCACAGCGACGCAGGATTTTCTCAACGGAGCCGGCGCGATTTTTTAGAAATTGCACAGTGCAAAATGTTTCGAAACGGATCGCGTCGCGCGGGGAACACGAAATTTTGCACTGTGCGGTGCAAAAAAGGCGGAAAAAAGTGCACGCACTTTCTGGAACGACTAGTATAAGAAACAACTCAAAACTCGCAAAATTCCATTTATTTTATGTTTATTTTTCTGTCTGTCGGGAAAGAAATGAACAGTATAAAGGTGGTCTTATAAGTAGTATATAAAAATTTTTTTCCCAAATCGCGATTTTTGGTGGACAAAAAAGTCGACGGTCAAATCAAAAAATTGGCGTCGACTTAATTTTTTTCGGCACCGAATTCTGAAATCTGGCGCATTTTTCGAAGGTTTTCAAAATCAGTGCCCAAAGTCTTAAGTCAATACCGAAGACTTTCGTTCTTAAGTCAGCACCGCATTTAGGAGTTCGGTGCTGAAAAAATTAAATTGACGCCAATTTTTTCGATTTGGGCGTCTACTTTTTTGTTTACCGAAAATCGCGATTTAGGAAACAAAAGTTGAGATTGTGCATTATTTTCCCGACTGACCGATATATTCTAGTCCTTCCGGAAAGTCTGATCTAAAACAAAGTGCAAATTCCCAAGAAAATTGTGTTCATTTCGCAGATTGTTTTTCGAATCTACTCGTGCTCTAATTGAACCCTATCTGATATAATTATACTTTCGGACAAACAAAAATATCTCAGAGATTTGAAAATATTGGCATAAAAACATTTGTGTACTTCTACAATCGCAAAATTATTAGGGTGTCCCATAAGTCTTGTGTATTTTGGGGTCGTTGACTTGTGCGAATTCCTGTGAGCTTTGTAACGCATTACGAGATATGTTAGACATACGGTTTTGAAGATCAGGAATTGCGCTTTTAAACCGTATGTAGCAAGGCTGCAAAAAATCCACCTGCTACCCGCACTACCCCAATATTGTACTAGACATCAAAAAAATTTTGCTTGCTGATGTTAAAATGGGTATATACTTTGGAAAATCAGATGTGTACGCCTATTAAACATGAAAATAGGACGCACAAGAGCCCTAGATGTTATTTTAATTCGCGCTGCAGCACGGGCGGGGGTACCTTGGTGGTGGTGTAAATAACATGAGAACTGCTGCACTCATGCTTTTCAGACTCAATTTTCCAATACTAGAAAGCGTTGGCTGTAGCTGCGTATGGTAGCTAATCTACTGTTGTTTGTGAACACAACGACATAATAATCACCGCCTGTGTCACTTTTGTTTCTTGAAATTAGCTTAATTTAAAAATTTCCTAATTATTTTAAAAATTTACAGAAAATTTTTTTAAATTGAGTGATTTTTCAGCCCTCAGCACCTCTATTCCAAAATACTCTTGCTAAAATAAAACACATATGACACTGTTTAGAACACACTACACTCCAATGTTATTTGTATCCATACCGACTTTTTTGGTGTTGAGTAAATGCATCACATTTTTTCAAATTTTTTTGGGTTAGTGGTAATTCAGAACAAGGCAGCCAGCGGATTCATAGTTAGGACGCATGAACGTTTTGTTTTTTTCACTCTGGTATCGGCGCGACCTGAGCAACCACCCTCAAAAAATGTTATACGCAAAATTATGTACATCACAATATTCACCATGGTGCCTAATACAAGAAACCTGCAGGACAACGTCATAAGAACAAATTCAGAGGGGAAAACGGTTTATTTAGAAACAGGGTACTTAGTAGATGTGTTAAAAAATGCAATTGCAAAGGTGCAGCCCCATTTATCAAAAAACGGAATGGTTTTCCCAGCCCTTCCCAGAAGTTGATGATATTAAAGAATTTCAAGTATTTTCCCCAAGGGCATGTTATTAGTTAAAATTTTTATGCTGCTTATAAGTGTAAGAGATGGCGGTTTCAACAATGCCAAACATTAAGGGATGCATTCATTTAGGCCTGCGAAACGAGACTTTAATTCTCAAACCCAAAAATACACAAGACTTATGGGACACCCTAATAGGCTGCTCACACGGGAAGTACTCCAAGTGCGACGCTCAGATTTTGATGAAACTTGGCACAAATTTAGAACATTTTTTTCTAAGATACTAGTCCTTCCGGAAAGTCGCCGGACGGAAATCGGCGACATGCACTGTGAGAAAAAACTCAGGGTGCGAGCGACAGCTCGAAAAAGCCTATTGCACAGTGCAAAGTGAACTTTCGTTTTCGCGGAGTGCATGTCGCCGATTTCCGTCCGGCGACTTTCCGGAAGGACTAGTATATGCGAGAATCCTAGCTCGCGCTTTGCAGAAACAACCGACATTTTTAGACCGAAAGTCGGCCAAAATTTAGGACTTTTTGCCGAATTGCGGCACGAAAAGTTGCATGCCTATTTCTACCGTAAAGTACTGTTTCTACAAAAAATCAAATTTTTCCACCCGAAACTGCCAAAGTTACGGCCAAAAAGCGTTTTTCTCTCTGACCGCTCTCCACGTTTAGCGTGCTCTCTCGGCGGCAAAAATCGTTCGATATCTCGGCGGCGCCCGCAAAGCGCGAGCTAACACTTTCAGGAATTGATATTTAGTCCATACCCGACGTGTGTGCAAAATTTAAAGAAAATCTGAGCGTCGCACTTGAAGTACTTCGCCTGTCAGCCAAAAACTATTTTTAAAAGAAAATAAAAATTTTCCGCCTTTCCGGTCGCCCTTTGTCATATTTATCCAAGAGGTTCAGGTTTCGGAGCGGATCGAATTAAAAAAGTGCCAAAAGATGGCGTTAAACTGTCTAATCCAACAGCTGATGACCCACGATTTTTTTGAAACAATTGGTTTTTTATCAAAAATCATTCAAATCCACTTTCCATCTGTCGTTTATTTCCAAATCACTACATAAATAGATAAAATGGAACAAATCTTCCTATGAAAAGACAATTACTTGCTAGTTAGACCAATAAAGTAAATTGAAGCATAACGAATGTCGTGGATCTTCACCGTTGGAATTTTTTGAGAAGATATTTTTGCAGTTTTGATCAATTAGCGAGCTTGAGAACACCAGAATCAATTTTTCGGGGGTGCGACTGAAAAACATTTCGCACCGAAATGTTTTGGGGTGCGACAGGATTTTGGGGCGTAAAAAATTCTCAGGACTTATTGAAAAATTCTCAAAATTTTTTGGTTTTGGGAATAAAATTTGACCAAAAAATCTTTGAAGTCATCAAAAAATCTCATTTTTTTGGATTCGTAAAAAAATAAAATAAATAAAAGAAACGTGATAATTCCGAAGAATAAAAAAAATCTCTAAAAATCGCTATTGTCATTGCAAAAAATCTTCTCAAAACTCTCCAAAAATCCTTGACATTCGCACGAATAAATAGTTTAAAATCCCAATAACTTATTCCAAGAGATATGGCAAGATGATGATACGAAAATGAATGTTATGAAAAAAATCTGTGAGGTAGAACCTTTACAATAAGAGATGTTATAACGTGTGAGGTGAAAATTGGAAGACATTCGGTCAAGTCTTTGTGTAACAAAAAAAATTTGAAAAAAATTAATTGGAAAATTTTCGAAAATTTTTCGAAAATTTTTTTAAAAAATTTTCTTTTCTGTTGCACATAGACCATACCTAAAGTAAAATTATAGCGAAAAATTTGGAATGAAAAATCTGGAAGGCTACCCGTTATCCAGTAAAGTTGAATGAAGGCTCAGGATTCGCCCGCTTAGGCCCTGGGTCGTCCTTTGAAGGCGCGGGTTCGGCAGCACAACGCTCAGCCGCCTCCTTCGCTCTTTGGAACTCCTCCTTGGCGGCCATAAAGTCGGCCACACTCCGGGTGTCGTTGATCCTCCGCATGTAGGGATCTTCGCCCTCATGGAAATAATGGCATTTGTAGCCGTAGGGGCACTGGCCTGTAGTGCTATGTTCCATGCATTCCACGGTCTTAAAATTGTCACTAGCCTAAAATATTTTTAAAATATTGAGTTTTACGCTTCAAATCTACAAAAAAAATTTTCAAAATCTCAAATATCCATACCGGTTTCAACGTCAATTCTTCAATATCATGCGCAAAATGGCATCGATCCCCATAATCGCACCTCCCATGAGCCAAGATATTTCTGCACAGCGCGCTTTTGATGAGTTGTCCGTCGACCAACTGGGGTTTTTTGTCATCACGACGTCGGAAATTCCTCCCAGACTCGTGCTGCTCGCCGTTCGCATGGTTTTCCACCCGATTCCCTCCATTCGAATCGCCCACATAGATTCGCTGAGCTGGCGCCGGGTTTTGATGATTTTGATTCAGTTCGGGTGGAAAGTCGGGCAAATTTGGGGCAAACAGGTTGCGGGCGTCCGGATACTGCGGCAGGACTGGCGGTGGGACGGTGTATTGGATTGGTGGAGGCATAAAGTTGTGTTGTAGCGGGATATTCGGCTGTGGAATCGGTTGGGGAACACACTAAAGTAGGGTGAATTTTAATTTTAAAATAGTAAATTTCACGATGATGCTTTAGCGTATTTTTTTTTCAAATCTTGAAATTTCGATCATTTTTGTAAAACAGAAATTATCAATAGGTGTACAGTGGGGCACCTTATCCAGTGGCAAAAAACGTACCATTTTGCATCCAGGAAGTATCAAAAAATGTGGCAAAATACCTCCCTCTCCAAGTGAAAAAACTCCGATTTCAAAAGCGCGACAACTCTTTTTGTGAGTGCCCTTCAAAACGAAGTTTTTTCACTTGGAGAGAGAAGAATTTTGCCACATTTTAAATGCTTCCCGGATGCGAAATGGTACGTTTTTTGCCACTGTATTAGTAGCTGGCAATATTGGTGCACGTTTTCTAGCAGCGTCCGTGAAAAGAAACAACCTCAAAAAACGGCCTAAATAACAAAAAACTCATTCAAAACCTCTTACCTCTCTCTGAATGGGCATTATTCCATTGGCACCATTCACGATGAAGGGCTGTGGAATAAAGTGTCCGGAGTTGTCGAAGATCCCGTTGACAGGTGCAAAGTCGATGAATGGCTGCTGATAAAATTGAGGTTCCATGGGCTGGAGATGCTGTGGATAGAAGAAGTTGGGAGGTGGATGGTGGATGACCGTCTCTTCTGAAAAAATTTTAATATATATATAAGTTCCTAAGCTTCAAAAAACATCAAAAGAATCTCAAAAAAACTCACGATTAAAACCGATTGGAGCTAACTGGAGATTCTCTGAAATTGGTACTACTGGCTGTTGTGGAGGCGGAGCTGTGACAAATCTGACCGGCAAATTTTGCAGTTGTGGGTTTTGAACCTGTGGAGCATGAGGTTGTGGAGCTTGAGGTTGTTGAATCTTGTACACCGCCGGTAGAATGTCCACCGGATTCGGGCTTTGGGATCCGGATCCGCCGTGCTCGATCAGAATAATCGAAGTCCGTTTCGACCTTCTGCGGCCCTGTCGCTCATTATGGGTGTTATTGATACTGTTAATATTGTTCAAGGCGTGCTGACTTGAGCTCTGTTGATTGCGCGCGGGATTCTGGTAAACCTGTAGTTGGAGTTGGTTCGAACCGCTCTGAGTTTGCCCGTTATCCCGGATCCCGTTGAATTGGCCGCTGGGCCGACGCTGGGAATGTCTTGCAGCCGCATCGTCGCCGTTTGCATGCGGTTCCCGCAGCACATCCGACAGCCGGCGGATGCGGCTCCGCATGGGGACGGGGCGACGCCGAGGCCCCGGATCTTCCTGGAGTTGGAGCGCGGCAAAGCTCCGCTCCACGTCCCTGTCCATTTCGTTAAAAAAAAAGAGAGAAAGGCGTTGGCTTGAAGCTCAGTGCTTAGTTGTACTGGATCATATGGATTGGACTAGAATTCTGCGTGAGATGAGGGAATATGTGGTGGGATATGTGCACGCCTGAAAATCAAAAGTTTTTTCATCAAGATATGAGCTAGTTTACATCATAAAATCGCTAAAAAATCACAATAATTCGCTCTAAATCATCAAAAATGAGGAAAAATCAACGAGATCATTGGACTGAGTTTTGGGTCGAAAAATCATAAAAAAAAGGTCGAAAATAATAAAAATATGCACCAATTTAGTGTCAGAGAAGCACAGAGACAGACTGCTGAGTTTGAAGTAAATTTCTATCGCTTCAAATCCAACAGTCTTCTTGGTATCTCTGAGATAATGTCTGATTACAATTTCCGGCTTAATTTGATCTCGTCTGAAACCGGGCTCTCCAAAATCCTCCAAAACTCGAAGCAAAATGTCAAATTCTGCTTCAAAATAAAAGTGGAAATAGTTGTGACAATAAGTGTGACTCAGAAGGTGCCATGCGAAAACAAGAATTTTTTATAAAAAATCCCCTTTCCACATAAGGAAACCCCTAGATTAACTGTATTCTCTCTGTATGTAGAAACTACAAGCTCAAAAGTACCAAGGAAGTGTCGTCAAGAACTAATTACAAAGAGTATTTGGGGCGTTCGGAAATGTCGTCAAGTCCAGGCGTATTAATCGAACAAGCACCTCACCAACATGTCGGGTCCGCCCGAAAACAGCTCGCTTAATCTCCTCTCAATGTGGACCATGTATTTTTGCAGTGGGCTTGGAAAAAATGGATAATATCATCACTTTTATGAGCGGAAAATTCAAAGTGACCACCCACGGATGCTTTTGCAAGATTTTTTTAAAGTTGTGGTATGAATCTTGGACTTTGTTAAACGAGTCAGAAAATATAAAAATCATATTTAACGATGATTTTTTCAAATACAGCAAAAAAATTTTCAAAGTAAAAATTTTCCAAAAAATTATCCCTTGGTCCCCCCTGACCTATTAAAAATTTTTAATTTTAAAAATTTTTTTGATGCAATCAAAACAGTCTATACAAGATAAGATTAATTCCTCATGCTCTGACACTTTGAACGCGCCAACAAAGTGGGAGAAAATCCAATAAAAGGGGTCAAATTTATGTTCTCCCGGCATGATCTTTGATCAGGAAGGCGAGACAACCCAAAAACGAGGGGGACAAAAAGTGTAAATACAAAAGTTTCATAACGTTCGATCATGCGATAAAAACAGATAATCAATTTGTATGTAAGCAGTAAATAAGGTAATTTTTCAGCTGCGAAACGGTAAGAAAGTTTTGCTTATCAAGATCAGTGCGACCATTGGCTGGAAAATTTGGCGCTGAAAATTCGAAAAAAATTTCCATTCTTTTCAAACTTTTCGTACTTGTAAAGTCGACCTTCAAATGGGGGAAGTGAATCAAGTGTCTCAAAGCTCAAAGCGCAGATTTTTCTGAACCTTGGTTCAAGTCAAAATTCAAATTTTTTAAGGCACATCGCTGGATGAAACCCCACAAAAACCGCTGGAAAATATCCTGTGAAAAATTTCCATTGAGCGCGACTGAAAAAAGAATTGCAACAGAAAAGCGGGGGGCCGAAGAAACCAAAAACTGAAGTGACAAACCGGGAAAAAAATCACAGACGAACGTCTCAGAAAATAAGAGTGCAAGCGGACGCGCGCATAAATAAACCCCGACGAAAAAAAGGAAGGGGCGCAGACAAAATGAAGGAAGAGAAGAAGAAGAGAGGACGAGTTCTTCTCCCTCTCTCTCGCTGTCTCCCCCGATTACATCACACTGCACTTTTATGGGGGCTACCCTCACGGTAATGTCGGCGGGCTTGAGGTCAGCGATGATAGCTGGACGCCAACAAAGAAGCGGTTGATAGCCCCGATATCAACGAGGTAATGAGGCGTTTTTCGCCGTATCGCCGCAACAACGCTTGCCCAGCCAAAAGTCAGCGTTCACAATGCCGAGCACGTATTTTCGCTGGATCCCAGCAATGTTTGGCTATCAAGAAAGCTGCATTAAAAATTGTTTGCTATTATAGCTAGATCTAACAGTTGTTTGCTGTTATAGCTAGATCTAAGCCCTTGAGGAGGCAAAAACACCCTTTCAAAATCAACCATGGACCTTCATTTCCTTGTCCTTTTCTCAAAAATCCATCTAAGCAAGGAAACAAGTTCTTACAGTCAACAAATAGGTCAAAACTGAGATCAAACCGGACCCAAGATTGATATCCAAAAGCATCAGACAGAAACCAACGCTCTTCTTGAGGCTATGATAGGTTTTTATATCGAGTTTAGCCTCATTTCAATTTTATTTTCGACTGAAACCGACGTGTTCCCTCCGAAAATCAAATTAAGATCCGTATGCAGTAGTTTTTGGCTTCAAGAAAAGTTCCCCAGGTGCGACGCTCAGATTTTCTTTTGACTTTGCACACACCTATAGACCACATATAAATCCCCAAAAGTTTCGCTCGTGCTTTGCAGGGGCAGCCGGGTTATCGACCGACCTTTGCCGGCGAGAGAGTACGCAAAATGCGGAGACAGTCAGAGAGAAAACGCTTTTTAGCCATAACTTTGCCAGTTTCGTGCGGAAAAAATTGATTTTTTGTATAAATATTACCCTCTATGGTAGAAATAGGCAAGAAACTTTTCATGCCAAAATTCGAGATAAATTGTCAAACTTTCGCGGACTTTCGGTCTAAAAATCTCGGTTGTTTCTGCAAAGCGCGAGTTAGGATTCTCGCATATATTTTAGAAAAAATTATTCTAAATTTGTACCAAGTTTCATTAAAATCCGATGACATTGAAAACAATTTTAAAAGGCATTTTGCGACCTAAACATTACAAGGATATGTCGGAAAAACGTTTTTAATTTAATCATCAACACTTCACTTTATTCGTTTTATACACGCAGCTACAGACATTTCAACCCAACTGCAAAAAATTTCAAGCCTTTTCCAACCTGCACACTTACACTTGAAGTGTGTAATTACAGTGACCGCACATTTAGAAACCTATCATTAGCTAAAGATTTCATTAATGAAGGCTGAGTCTGGGTCTTTGAAATATCATTATACCGTATTTCCAAATTATGGGCTATAGTTTGACGCCTAATCACGAAATTCGAAAAAAGTTGCGAAATCTCTGGAAATTTCGGTTCAAGTCTTGACCTTGAAAATGGACTTCAAAGTGGTCAAAATTCAAAACATAAACTAGAAAGTTTCGGAAAAATATCGTCCCCTAGCCATTTTTATAACGCAGGTCCTACTTTATTCAAAAAAAAAAGCAATTTTTCCAATAAAAGATCTACGGAATATGTTATGTGGAACATTACATAATCTCACCTCAAAGAACGCGAGGTTATGTCCTTTCCGAGTGCAATGGCTATTCCGAACAACCTCCATTTCTATTTTTTAGGTGGGGAAATAAAAGTGCAAGGTGACTCGTTCAAAAATGAGAGGGAGGGCAAAGAAGTTTTAGAGTGCCATAAGTTGGAAAACGAGTAAAAACGGGAATAAAATTTGGAATTCAAAACACTGGAGGCCATTATTTGCGGAAAGAAGAAACTGAAAATTCAGAGTCAGCAAAAAGTTATGGCTGACAAAAAGATTGAGAAGATCGGAATGAGCCCGAATTTTGTATCGAAAGGTACAGTAAGACATACAGTGACAGTCCCGATCCAGTGGCAAAAAAGGTACCATTTTTGATCTGGGAAGTATCAAAAATGTGGCAAAATGCTTCCGTCTCCAAGTTAAAAAACTTCGTTTAAAAGGGCTCGCCCTTTCCCACACAAAAAGAGCGTTTTTTCACTTGGAGAGGGAAGCATTTTGCCACATTTTCGATACTTTCCGGATGCAAAATGATACGTTTTCTGCCACTGGATCAGGTATCCATCCCACTGTAGAGTTCTGTCAACAATACTTTTAACACCAAGCCCATGATCATTTCCATCTTTTTTCCGACAATTTTTTTGATCATAACCGTTTTCTAGATAGTCAAAAAAAATTTTCAAAATGTTTCTGTGAAATTCTACAAAATTTCAAATTATAAACACAAATTTAGTCGACCAAAATACAAAACGTTTCCAAATTCATTTCGCAGCCATGCCACCTTCATTTGCCGTCAACAAATTAAATTTCAGACCCAACTACAAACTGGCGAAAAAATTTATCCGCAACCTTTGATTTTGAGGCAGATTTCATTTGAGGCTTTTGGCTTTGTAGCAGATTTTATTCGGGGCAGATCGGGAAGTAAAATCTGCCGCAGTTTTACTGGAAGGGTTGCCAAAAAATCATGCCAAAAATGGCGAGAAAAGTCAGAAATTGGCTTACTTTCGACCCAAAAATCTCTGTGAGTCCTGCAAACTGCGAGCTAAAAATTTTTGCGTATGCCCTGGGAAATTATACTCTAAATTTCAACCAAGCCCGGTCAAAATCCTAGTGATTTATCGTCAAAAAAAAACTATTTTTTTCTCTTCACAACAAACAATTTTTTATTGAGCAACGCGTTTTCCCTACCACAAAACCGTTCGTCTTTTTTGCCCCAACCAAAAAAAAGAAAAACCTAAGCGGCACTGTGAACGAATTGGCAAGGGCACCGAGGGAATGGGCTCACAAAGACCCCCGAACTCCTGCACTTTTCGTCTGCGCGGTTCCGAAAAAACACACAGGTAAAAAGGCTATGGGGGAAAAGCGGCGGGGGAAACTGGGTCAAATGCGCATCCCCCTCGTCGATTTTGCCATTCGTCGAGTTTAAAACCGCTGAATGGACATGCTCAGAAGGGTCATGGCACATCAAGGTCAATGCCAAAAAAGATATAATAATTCCTTACATAGTGCAATATTTTTAAGACCAAAAACTTGAAACATTGTTTTCGGCCATGAAAATTATTAATCTCTTCCAGAAATTTCCGTCTGTCGCTTCAAACGGATACAGTTTTCTTCTCAAAAATCGCAAAAAAATTCAAAATTGCGAAAATGTCCCAAAATTCTCGGACTATCACCCTCAAATACACTATAACTTTTATTTGACCTAAAATCAAAATGTCATTATAAACTCAGCTAAATTTAATCTTCATGGGGAGTAATGTCCTCGGCGGTTTGCTTCAAGCTGGTCAACAGGACTCTCTTGGCGTCGCTCTTGGCCTTGCGGTCAAACTTGTTCCTGGAGTAGGAGGCGACAGCCTTCTTCAAGGTGTCGATGGCTTCCTGCTTTTGCTTGCTGACTCTCAGGGCCTCACCGAGATGGAACAGGATCTGAGGAGTGTTTTGTCGGAGCTCATCGGCTTTCTTGAAGGCGGCAAGAGCTTCTTTGTACTCCTTCTTCTCGAAGTGCGCAATACCTGCAATGAATAAGAATATTTCCGTCACAGATAGAATATTGGAGATTCAATTGGGATCCTGATCTCTAAATTTTAAGCAAAATACTTGAAAATCACATACCCAAATGGAGGAAGGCATAGGCGTCCTTAGGATTAAGTTCTGTGGCCTTCTTCAAATGGGCCCAGATCTGTTCCTGTGTATGTTTTGGGTCCTTGACGGCCTTCTTGTCAACACTCAAAAGACGGGCAGCGCTGATAGCGTACCACTTGTGGGCTCCAGACAGACCATTGGATCCTTCCAATTGGATGGCTTTGTTGGTCAGTTCCACTGCTTTCTTCAAGAGCTCCACTTTCTTGACGGGATCATGAACAAACTCGGCCTTCTCGGCAAAGGTGCGGCCCAAGCGCCAGAGAATGTGAGGGTTGTCGAGATCAACAACTCTGGAAAGAAATAGATTCGGTAACAAGGGGAAAACGTCATAATGCATATGTACATGTGTGCAGAAACCATGCAGACCTCGTCTAGCAAACCCACTAGCAAAAAATCCGGAGTTTATACGAGGTCCGAAAAAAGACTGAATGCGCGTTGTATTATACTTGCCAATCCGCTTCTAAAACTCAAAAAAACAAACGAAAAGCAAAGTTTACCTGGTGAAGACCTCCTCGGCGTGAGTTAAAACCTCCTCGGACTCGATGTAGCTGCTCTTGCCCAACTCCTTCAAAGAACTCTCCAATGATTTGACGGCATCTTGATACCAAGCTGGCTTCTTGCCCAGCTGCTTGTCCGTGAGAGCGACACCAGCAGCACCCAGTTGAAGGGCTCCAACACCAGCGACCAGCTTGGCGGAAGATTGTAGAACTCGACGGAACATCTTGGTCAAAACCGCCTGGAAAATTATAAAAAAATCAAAACTGATCAGCGGTAAAATTAAAAAAATAGCATCGGCAACAATTTTAAACAAAAAATTAGCAAAATTGGGTGCCAAAAATGTCAGAAACGATCAAGTTATCTTACACCTGACGAGATTTCCCGAAAGAAGGCTAAATTTTGATTGGAACGGAATGTCACTATTGATTTCGACGAAATGTCAAAAATATCAAGCCCGTGTAAATCAACGAATTCTTGAATGTTGAGGTAAAATTCTTGTTGCAAATCACATACTCATTCAAATAAGTTCAAAAAAAAACGAAAAATGCTTCATTAATTCGAACCAGTATACAATAAAAGTTGTTGTTCGTTTCAGGATAAGAAAAAAAGTTAAGAACAAGGACTGATGATTAAATATCGATGTCAATCTCCACATCCAGATGTTTAGCTAAGTGACTGGTCCGCTGGGGCTTCATTAATAGGGGGTTAAACTTGAATTCGGGCTTTCGTTCGATGGGTTTGACGAGGGGGGCTGGCGCGGGAGCTGGAGCTTCGGCTTCTGAAAAAGGAGAATATAACATGTTCGTGTTCAGTGGGCCACCAATCTTACTTGAGATGACTAAATAACCCTGAACTTCAGTTTATCACTCCGTTTCCTAACATCCACTTCCTCTATACCTCCCCTATCCCACTTATATTACAATATTACAAAAATCAAAAATATCGTCCTTGCCTTTCGGAGCAGCCTCTTCTTTGGGTTTCTTCGACCCGCCGGCAACCACCTTGGCCTTGTTCGACTTCCTAGTGAATGGGTCGTCTTCTCGGTTAGTATCGAACTGAATTTTGGACGGATCCAAGAAGTTCCTTCTCATCTCTTCTCGTCGTTTGTGGTTGATCAATGTGACGGCCGCCAGCTTGCCCTGCCGATTTCTTTCGCGATCGTTTGCCTTTTGGTCGAGAGCATCGATTTCGTCTTGGATTTCGCGCAACTTCTGGACATCATTGACGGCTTCGGCGTCTCCCTGAAAGAAGAGCATTTGTGATACAGATCAATTGAATGTAATACAGATCAAACCAAAAATTGAATCCAAATACACCGAAAAAAGCCTAATTTTACCAGTTTTTGTAACCTATTCGTAAAATTTTATTCCCAAAGCTGATACAGTGGAGGACCTGATCCAGTCGCAAAAAAAACGTACCATTTTGCATCCAGGAAGTATCAAAAAATGTGGAAAAATACCTCCCTCTCCAAGTGAAAAAATCCGACTTCAAAAGCGCACCCGCTCCCTTCAAAACGAAGTTTTTTCACTTGGAGAGGGAAGCATTTTGCCACATTTTTGATACTTCCCGGATGCAAAATGGTACGTTTTTTGCCATTGGATCAGGTCGCCCACTGTACCATCAAACCTGTCATTCAACTTATTGTATTTTACACGACCACCTCCCAATTTTTACCTCCAATCTTCACGCATTTTCATGCTTTAATTATCGCTCGGAAGAATCTCAAGAACCCAAAAAATAATAACAGCGCTCGGATTTAGGCGGGTTGAGGTTGGAGATCCTGACCCAGAAACCGTGGAGAGGCGAGTAAATAACGAGGGGCGAGAAAACTACCTGGACTAATTTCGGCTGGTAAATCCATTTATCTGATTCATCCCGGTGTCTAATTACGTTGATTGTGAGATTTTTTGGGTTTTACGGAAAGCGAAGGGATTCTAATTTTGATCTTTTTATTGTTTTTCGACCCGGAGGGTCGGTGCAGTAAATTTTTTACTTTTCCGTGAGTCGAACCGCCTTCTTATATTAAAATACAAGAGAGAAAATCAAGCACGACCATTCGATCTTGCAGAAACTGCACAAGTTTGGTCGCCTCTTACCCAACTTTTCATTTGTATTTTCCCTTTCATAGCACCAATTTCGAGTTACTCCTTTATTCTTTTTCCCATTGTTGTCATAATCATCACTCCTTTCGGTAAAAACGCTTTTTAGCTTCTAGGCTTTACCCAATCTATTGTGACAACTGAATGGAGGCGACGGGAAGTGAGAATCAAAGCCAGAAAATGTCAGATCAATCCTCCTACCGCGTCAAACTGGATCGGTTTTTTCGGTAGGTTTTGGGGGAGAACGGGTCATTATTCGGCGGTCACTGAATAGGAAAGATTGAACCTTGACCGTTAAAACTTTGCTTGGTCAAAAATTTAGTTCCTAGGGGCAAAGAAAAACTTTATTCGAAAATTACTTTCCGAATTGTGCTAATTTTTATGAGCCGGAAGTTTTCGAATCAAAAAACCTAATTTTTCGTCAACAATCCGTCTAAAACAATCGATCTCCTCTACAAAGCGTGTGCCAAAAATTTGAAAGGTTTCCATATCGCACATCATCCAAATTCCGGGATCAATGGCTAGTCTCTAATCCCCCTTCATCACCATCTAGTGTAACTATTTCTTTCCGGATGGATAAACAACCAAAACGGAGGGCGTTTTTGTTTTGATTCCCATATATGATAAAGTGTCCGAAAATCTGGCGGGGCTTAGCCTCCACTACGCAAAACAAGCTGGGGAGAAAATTTGGGCACTTGGCCATTTAGCAAATTCCCAAAATTGACGGCTTCGTGGTATATCTGCGCGTTTATAGAGTAGAGTTTAGGTACAAAAAGTCGTAGACATTAGATTTTGTCCATAAATTTGTAATGTTTGTGGTCAATTTGGCTTCGTGGAAAATGGGCAGAGTGAAATTGGACAGAAATAAATTGGACGATGTTTGGAAATTGGGCAGGGGGAAATTGGGCAGAGTGAAATTGGAGAGATTTTTTTTCGCTGCAATCGTATGAAATGTTACTATTGAATCATTAAATAATTTTTTTGCAGTGAAAAAAATCTGTCCAATTTCACTCTGTCTAGTTTCCCCCTGTCCAATTTCCCCACTCCGTCCAATTCATTTCTGTCCAACTTCACTCTGTCCATTTTCCACGAAGCCAAATTGACCACAAACATTACAAATTTATGGACAAAATCTAATGTCTACGACTTTTTGTACCTAACTTTTACTCTATAAACGCGCAGAACCGTCTTGATACTTCACTGTTATTTGACCTTGATATGACTTTACAAGTTTTTGGTCTTTTGGAAATAAAAACCTAAAAATTCGGGCTGAATCAGCGAAAACCTTTAATATTTTATCGGAAATAGCGCCTATTGTATGCTTTTTTGTTCTGAATAAAAAAATATGCGTTCTCTGTTTTACATTGCATTTATTATTGTCATTCTGAGCTATTATTTTCAGTTTGAAACTATTTTTTGTCATCCCACTTTTTGCGGTCTAAATGTGAGACTAAATACTCAAAAAATCAGTAATAACACTTGTCTTACCTCGTCCTTTACCACCGTCATTCTATATTTACTCTTTATGACGACATACCGCTATTTACGGCTTTTGAAAACCCGTCTTGAAATTGCCGGAAATGCTCAAATGTGTTCTTCCGGGCTCTAAAGGTGCAAAGGACTTGGTATTTGAACAAATCGGAGTGTACATGTTCTTACGTTGAACTCTTTATCAATCCCCAACTCTAGGACCACGATATGGGGAAAACTCGTACTTTCACGGTTCAAAATCGCATTCTACTCACAAAAATGCCGAAAGCCCGTCAAAATGGCGCGTTTAATTCCTTGAAACATCCAAGAATCAGCTTGAAATTAGTGGTAAAGGTGAAAATCAGCTAATTTCAATCTTATTCTTATTTATGGCAATGTCAAGAAACGGATGTTTTACATTTTTGTTCCTAAAGTATTAATTTTTTCTTCTCCATTTCTATTTTATAGTCTTAAACTTCGTCCCTAATAATAAGCCTCTCTTGCAAGCACCCCTTCTTCAACCCAGATTTCAATTCCAATATTTATACTGGTCTTTCGCCATGAACCCTGTTATGATTTTTTGTCCCTGCGCACGCCACTTAGAATATCGTGGAGGGGAAAAGGGCTCATGTAAACAAACAAACGTTTCTGAGGACTGTAAAATATGCGTTCGTTCCTAAGCTGTATGCCCAATTTTCTTTTTTGTACATTGTTTATTTCCTTTTCATAGGCTTACCGGGCGGATGTAAAACGGAAATCACTTATGGAGCCCGTAAAGCCGAGGGGTTTTAGGAAAAAACAAGACCATATTTTAGGGATGTTCGGGTTTCATTTCGGAATTCCGTAAGGAAACGGCCACGGATCTATGAGTTAATGGCCCACACAGGTTGATACTTCCAGGTGTACCTATCTTTATAGTTCCAATTCCTTCTTTCAGTAAGGAGCACTACCGTGGTGGGACCTGATTCAGTGGCAAAAAACGTACCATTTCGCACCCGGGAAGTATCAAAAATGTGGCAAAATGCTTCCCTCTCCAAGTGAAAGAACTTCGTTTTGAAGAGCGCGCCCATTCCCTCGCAAAAAGAGCGGGCGCGCCTGAGCTTTTTCACTTGGAGAGGGGAGCATTTTGCCACATTTTTGATACTTCCCAGATCCAAAATGGTACGTTTTCTGCCACTGGATCAGGTCGCCCACTGTAAAACTCCGATCGTCTTAATACCGCCAGAAAACAACTTATTTCATTTTTTTCAAACGTCATTTTTTGGTTGTCACGTTTATCCAATTCCCAAATCCTTGCGCAATCCCCTTCCGTCTGCTACCTTGCCACTATAAACCTATTTTTTCATGAGTGGATAGTAATTATCGCCGGTCTCTCTTTCCGTTTTTACTCCAGATTCGGAAGATGATTATCGTTTCATTTTTGTACTCGCTGCAAAACGAATAAACTCGTCAAATTCGCCACAAAAACTGGAGGTTTAAGCCGGTTTCAGAGGGGCTCCAAAAAAAAATTTTTGTTCAAAATCCAACCTATCTCCCGGGATTTTCGCTGTCGTCTGCAGGTCTTCATGACAATGCAGACCGTTTTTTGGAGGTGATTATATCCCGGCTTTACGCTTTTTTCACCGCGCAATTTCGTTTTGGCGCTAAGAGAAAAGGCATGGGTTCTGGTGGGAATTGGTCACAGGTTTGGTCATTTGCGGCCATTTACATGTGAATAGCGCGGAAATTTGGAATAATTGCGGAAAGAAGAATTCTTTTTAACCCATAACTAACCCATTCCTCGCGTCAATTTGCCAACTAACCTAACTTCAGCGACTAACCCTCTTCTCCGGACTATCTTCATTCGAATATCGCCTTCACCTTAAACCTTTTATTGTGCCGTTTCGTTTATCATCGGTCAAGATAGCGTCCACCGAACATAAACCCTACTTTACGCTCAGAATGATCGCCTCGTCGAGTCCGCCGCCCGAGGAGAACGTCGACTTGGACCGCTCGTCCCGGCCTGCCAGTATCAAGAGCAACTCGAGCCGGCCGGCGTCGCGCAAGGACTCGTCGCCCGCGTCTCCGGAGCGGGCGCCGAGCGAGAAGACCGTGGAGCTCATTGAGAGACGGCCTGAAGTCCCGTAAGTGTCAAGTGGTTGGTGTTTCAATTGCCCCTTGCAACTTGCCTTTTGGACAGACATCACTATCTATTTCCCAACCTATTCTTCTAACCTTTTATACCTTTTATACCAACCTATTATACAGTCAAATTAGCACTTCCTAAACCCTATGGAACGCCATTCGACTGTTTATTTACAACCTAACAGCCTTTTCCTTACTTTGTCTTTCGTTACAATCACTTCTCCGTCGCTGAATTAAACTCAAATTAATTGGGCATCTATTGCTGCGGTTTTGTTTACTTTGCTCTAGTATACATGTTAACCCGACTGATTTAAACAGTTTTTGCGAATTTAGACCCGCAAATGGAAGGAACCCGGTTTGGCTTTCCATTCGATGAATTCCTTCCGCCGTTAGAATATAGTTTTTTGATTCTTGAGACCTTAGTCTACGTGTTTTACAAGCTATTTGCCTCTTCTGACGCTAGATTTACCCTCTTCCAAACTTCTAAACCACTCAGATCACCTTGAATACAATCCGTATCCATTTCCTATACAAAACTAAAAAAATAATTTTAGTTATTTCCGGATTCTTTTTAGCTGTTCCAAAACCTTTTCGTTCCGAATGTTGCTGCAGGTCGAACTCCTTTGATCGGGGCTTCTTAACGCGTATTGCAAAGTTTTTTCGGGCTCTTATGGCCAGTACAACAGCAAAACACTCAGCCGCGATGACCGCCTGCTTCTGACGAAAAAAACTGTTCAAGTTTTTCGTGTCCGATTTTTGTTTCGGGCTTCTGTGAGAATTCCAGTCTGTGGATTTGTGCTAAAAACTCTCGCTAATTCTAATAATTCCAAGGATAACTAAAACAATTATCCCAACTTCTATATTGTCGATTCAAAATTCGAAATGAATCTAAAGAAGTCTCGTATATTCAGTCCAAATTCCAATGAGGGTCAAACCTCTGGAAATGTAGCTAAACCGCCTTCCAATTCTAATGTCGTAGCCAAGTCAAAGAAGTCGTCGGTTCACAACCCGGCCTTCTCCTTCTCTGAGATCGACTCTCCTCTTCAGAATCCCGATTATCTCTTTGATTACAGCAGCGTGCAGCCAGTGGTCGGTGCCGAGAAGAAGGTGGAAAGTTCAAAGCAGGGAACAAAGAAGGCCACGGTACAATCCAAGCCCAGCAGCAAGGTCTCGCCGTTGACAACCATGCAGAAGAAGCTCAATTTTATCCCAAAGAACCAACGCGGTTCGCTGAACACGCAGTTCTTCGCTACCGTTCCTGGAGTTCTGAAGATCGCCGAAGTCGTAAGTTCGCTTTTCTAATACAGTGGGGGACCTAATCAAGTGGCAAAAAACGTAGCATTTTGCATCCGGGAAGTATCAAAAATGTGGCAAAATGCTTCCGTCCCCAAGTGAAAAAACTTCGTTTTTAAGGGCCCTCACAAAAAGAGCGGGCGCGCTTTTGAAATCGGAGTTTTTTTTACTTGGAGAGGGAGGTATTTTGCCACATTTTTTGACACTTCCTGGATGCAAAATGGTACGTTTTTTGCCACCGGATCAGGTCCTCTCACCGTAATTCGGAACCACGAAACAGTATAAAAGAAGGATTACGTTTTTTCTGCTATATTTCTGGCAACCTTCCAGTCAAAAAAATCTGTTGAAAGTTATCAGAATGAGCTATAGTTTAACCTTAATTTAAAACCCTCAACCCAATCCCTTTCAGGTTCTCGGATTCGTTGCCTTCGTTCTGGCCATTTGCGCTGATCGCAACTCGACCAGCTCCGCTTGGACCGAGCACATCACCTTCGAATCCACCATAATCGCCGGCGTTTTACTTTTGGGTTACATTATCTTCCCGCATCTCACCATCGATGATGAGAAGAACAATAACGGCTTGGTTGTTATGGTAAGTCTCATTGCAAGTTTTGCCTTTTCAGCAGTATAAAGAAGCTCCTTTCAAAATTGTCATAAATCAATTTTACGATTGATTTTTTCAGGAACTAATCTTTTATGCGGTCAACACTGTAGCCTACTTCATTTCTGTCTGGTTGATGGTGCATTTGTCGGCCAGTTGGAGGGCTGACGGCCGAGGAGCCGCTATTATGGGGGCCGTAAGTCCATTTTAACTTTATTTTGTCATCTCTACGCGGAACATCTTACAAAAACGACAAAATTTCTATGTAAAACTTGTGATGAACCTCAAATTTCTCCTATATTTTCGCGATCATGATATCATAAATCACAATGTTGCAGATTCTAAACGTTGCCTTGACCGTTCTCTTCGGAATTGAGACCTTTATCAAGTACAAGACCTGGAAGGGAGAGCAAGTTCTTCAGAAGCCCGCTGACAAGAACCATTATCCCACCAACACCTCGTTGTCGCCCGACCCGGAAATCGTCTAACCATGCGCATTTATCAATTAATCATTTGCCAATATGTTTCTTATCACAGATATTATTTGAGATATTGGTTTAGATATTTGTAATAATTCTTTAACTATTCACCCCTCTATCAGACATTATATCAGGTGTAAATTTCAAGTAATAAACATATAAGAGCACGATATCTTAGAAAACATAATAACATTCAAAGTTTTCACCATAATTTAGGCTATTACGCAAGGTGTCTACTACAATATAAAAATTAAAAATTAAACCAACCTTCGCCTTCAACAGTCGTGCTTTCTCTACGGCAAAGTTGACGGGATCATCTTTCCAACGTTGTTTTTCTTTGATCATCTGAAAAAATCAAAAACAATACCAGACTTGGGCATGGTCTAAAACAAGGTAAATTAACATTTCGGAAATCGGCAAATCGGTGAAGGTACATATCATTCGGAAGCTCATAGCAAGTAGAAATTGATACTACTTTCATTTTTCATATATATTCATTCGCTATCTCTCAATTCGTTTCCTTCGCTATTAAATGACTCAAAAACTCACATAATTAATATCGGCATCGCTGAAGTTCTGTTTGCTCGCTTCTTCGATTTCCTTTCGCTTATTTGTGACCTCATCGATGGTTGGCAAGGATTGATTCTAAATACCGAATCAAAATCAAGACTCAAACCTTACATGCTCCCTCATTTCTTTGATCCAATGGACATACTCCTTCTCCGCAAATTTTTGGTTAGATACAAATTCCAGCCGATACACCCGACTCGACGCTCCGTGCTTCAGCTTCAGGCCTCTGTTAGTTCGGGTTTTCTCAATATTGTAGACCTTCGACGTCTCTACAACATCGACAATCTCGCAAATCTGAAAACACCCATATGAATCGGTAGTACAATATAAAAATAGGGCAGAAAATGAAAGAAAATGCGATTAGCTCTGGCCAAAAGGCAGCCAACTTACCCTATAGACATCCTCACCAGTTGCCGGGTTCTTTCCAATTCCAATTCGAACGTAGCAGCCGGTCACAAGCTTATTAAAATTTGGCAGATGGACATATTGAGCGAGTCGGAACCGAGAGATCCTTGCCAGTTCAAGCTCATCCTTGTTCTCAATCTAAAAACCAAGACATAAATTTCGACAAAATTGACTTACTTCTCTTGAAGCGGATGGAGAACCCGACCGTGAGCGACTCGAAGATCTTGATGAGGATCTGCTGGATGAAGAGGATGAAGATGAGCTCATAGTCTTATCGCCACCCATTTCGGTTCCAAACACTTCATCGATATCCAAGACAGCCCGACTCTTCACCACCTCTTTTTCCTTCTTGTCCTTCCTTTTGGCCATCAACTTGCTCATAGCGCTCTTCTTCACATTTTTAGCTGCAACTTCAGATGGCTTATGGAAATCCATGTCGGGTTCGTCGTCATCCTTGCCTGCGGAACGAATTTCACCTGGAAAGAGGCTCAATCAACTTTTTCGCAGCGTAAAATGCGTAGATAACCAATTTCTTTATCAAAAATGGTCCATACACCCAGTATAATATAAATTTTTGACAAATCCTTGCAAATAGACGCTGATTTAGGCTCCTAAAGCGAGAACAACAAAGACAAAACACGCACCATCAGATTCGGAGTCGCTGGAAGACGAACTCATCGAACTCTTATCTGAATCGTCTTTCTTTCCCTTCGGCTTGGACTTGACACTCGAATTCCTCAATTTCTTTGCGATTTCGGCTCTGCAATTGAAATTTAAGATGCTCAGCAACTTGATATAAATGTTTTGAATATGAAAACAGCAAAATATACCCAAATTTTACCTTTGTCTTTCAATTTCTTCTTGCTCAACCTGTTCGAACACAATCAACTCTTTAGCAAGCTCGTTCTTGGCGTCAGAGGCAACAGGCTTAGCCTTCTTGGCCGCCGGTTTCTTCACTCTCGGCTTCTTCATTTCAGCATCGACCTCATCGTCGGTAGAAGACCCTAAACCAAGAATCAATCCAATAATTTAAAACTTACCGCTCTCAACATATTTCGAGGCCGTTCTCTTGGTCCTCCCGCGGCTGGAAGTTGGGGCATCGTCCTACAAAAAATGCATCAAAATCAAGCCATAAAGCAATTTTTAGGCAACAAAACATCAAAATTTCGAAAAGACTAACATGAATAATATAATTTTAGTTTGCCATCTTTCCAAAAGTCAAAATAAAAACAAAAAAATCAAATACGTATGGAACAAAGTATAAAGAAGATGCCTGAATCAAAGCTTACCCTGTCAGAGTCCGAATCGCCACTCATTTCAGCAGTTTATTGACCCTAAAGTAAGATAACATGATATTGAAGCCTTAAAATTAAAAAGCAATGTTTCGAGAAACGACAACTCTCACGTCAACGGAAAAGCTAGACATTGGTGTCAAAAAAATTTTGTCAAAAAAATGCACTTTGCGAAGTGCGTCCCCGCATCCCGCAGGCTGCGGGGGACATTTTATACGAATTGTTTTTTTTTTATTATTTCTTCGTCCGGTTTGAAGTGGCATTTTATACGATGAAATATTTTTCCAAATTGTGCGATCTGTAGTTCTGTTTTATTTCCTCGACTCTTTTGCCCTCTGGCAAATTTTTGCTGTTTTGATTTCGTGGATTACCGGCGAAAAATGAACGGAAAAATAAACTTTTGGTTAATTTGAAGAGATCATTGCCAATGCGTATTAGGTGTGCTTTATATTGAATCTAATTACAAGTTATCTACAACTGGTGCAATCACAATTCGTCCCTGTTTGAGCGAACTTCTTTCAACGAGATTATGTCGCGCCCGTAATCCTTGGCCAATCTATTCCAGAAGTGCCATTTTTCTGGTGCGAACTCTTCATTGCGAAGTTCAAGTTTTGCGCCAAGATTGGCGTAATTATTGCGGTCGTTGTCCAAGGGCGCCCAGTCAGGATGGGGCTTTCTGAATGAGGAATAAACTTGAGTTGTGTAGGACTCACCCGGTCAAAGCCATGTTTGTAATCATATCCACAATGATCCTCTGATGCTCCCGATCATCATCGTCAAACTCGAAATGCCCCACTGGAAAATCTCCATTCATATAGGGATACTCGTTCGCATGAGTTGCGGCTTTGATTTTCAAATCCTCCGGATATTGCGAGGGATTGAAATATTCGGTGTGATATAAGTAAGTGTTCAGCCCATTTGCAGCGCGCAGATCGGAGTATTGCAAAGCGCCGAGAGTGAAGAAAATGTCGGCCGTCAGCTGTAAGATCAGGCTCATTATTGGAGGTTTTTCGAAGCCACAAATAACAATTTGAAGCCGCAAACTGAAGCCGTCTTACCTCCATGTACTTCCACAGATAGTAATGCTCTCTGAGCTCTGGATCGGTTACACTCTCCTTGTCGCTAGTGTAGAACGCAACAATCCGCTCTTCAACCTCTCTCCAGCGATCGCCCAGTCGCTCGGGGCTGGTCAACGTTTTGTGCGTGTAGTCGATTAAATCCTGCTTCCCAAACTCGGACTGATTCATCTTGGGAATATCTAAGCTGTTCATAACCATGTATAAGTTTAAAATCGCTGAAAAATAGAGCGTGTGGTCCTCAGTCTTCGGTACGAAAAACGGACAAGGACATGGCACATTTTACGGACAGATGGGTTACAAAAACATCGAAAGATGACTTGGCCCTAAGAAATTTAAATTATAATCATTAAAATGCAAAATTCTGAGAATATATTCGACGAAAAACTTTTTTGATTTGCTCTTGTAATTCGCTATTCGTTAAAAAAATTTTGGGTCAAGTCTTCCTTTCGGTGAGATGAATCCACAATTTAACATTATTGACGGTTCATCACACAAAAACTTACTGAAATACAAAGACTCTAGTTTGGTTACGCCAACAATAGCGTTGATCTTCTTGGTATGAGCTGTATCAGCTACAAGTTCGTATACGTGCTTCGGAACAAAGTCGTTATCGTAGACCGGAATGAACATCAGAAGTTCAACCTCTGGAATTGGACGGGTCTAAAACAAAGGTCAAATTAGAAGTTTCAAATGTCAAAAAAAAAACAGTTGAAACTTACAACTTTGCTTGTCGCGGCCAGAAACTCATCTGTTGTTGTCTTCTTGAAGCACTCCTTCCATTTCCCGGTCTCGCAGTTTAGCGCATACGCCACTTCCTGAGAATATTTCTTGACGTGTTTTTGCGGCTGAACACCCCATGGACACAATGGAGTTCCGCTCATGGCGATTATATTGTGAATGTAATCTGAAGCACAACAAGAATAGAAGGAAAAAATGATCAAAAAAGATTGACTAGGTCCCACCGAGATTCGAACTCGGGTCGCAGGATTCAAAGTCCTGAGTGCTAACCGCTACACCATGGAACCGCATGTCTTAAAGGGCTTTAAATTGACACCTGTAAAAGCATAAAACGGGCTGAGAGTTCTTTAAATTACAAATTAATTTAGCTGGTTCTTCACCGTCTTCCTTTTAAGGCCCTTTTCAAAAAAGGTGAATACAAAAAGCTTCAAAAAATCCCTGTTCAAACCGCATGGCCTGTGGAAGATTTTTAAGGCCCTTAATAAAAAACGGGAGCCTTAGATCAGCGAATAAAAAATGATATTTTTTGTTCTGCGGTATCCTACTGCCTTTGTTGCAGAAATTAAAACCCAGCAATTCCTTACCTCTAGAGTATGGTGACAACTCCAACAAACCGACGGATCCTCCGCCAGCACTCAGACCCCAAGCCGTCACCTTGTCCGGATTCCCGCCAAAACTCCGAATGTTGTAATGGATCCATTTGAAGGTCTCGGCCTGATCGAACATGCCCAGATTTCCCGGCAACTCCTCTCCTCCATCTGTGACAAAGCCCATTGCTCCGAGCCGATATTGCGTCACCACCACAATCAGCCCTTTTGACACGTAATTTTGTGTCAGATTTTTGTAGCCGTAGGTTTCGGCCAAGCCCCAGCCGAAAGCACCGCCGTGCACGTACACCAAAACCGGGTAGCCGGCGGGATCGTTGGACTGAAATATAACAGTATATTGGACAAGGGAAATTAGTGGAAACTAGATGCATACCGGCTCGCTAGGTGTCATAATGTTCAATTTCAGACAGTCCTCGCTGTACCGTTGACCTGGTGGAAGCATCATCGGCACACATCCGGGTGGAAAATCGGTAGCATTTAATGGTGCTGTCCATTTTCGTGACCAAGACTTTGTCTTCTAAATAGAAGTTTTTTTCAAAGATTTCAATGGTCAACAATTTACTCAATCCACAATTTGCTCACCTCAAACCGCAGCTCGCCCAATGGCGGCTCCGCAAAAGGGACCCCCAGGTAAATCGCAGCCTTCTTTTCCGTATAGGGATCAGTGTAGTAAAAGCCATCAATATCACCAAATTGAGTTTGTCGTCTCGGCTGATCTGCCAAGCCAAACAAAACGAACCCGTTGAGCAAAAGAATTGATATGGCGGTTTTGGACATTTGACCCTAAAAACATGACATGTATGTGCAGCCGCATACTTTTGCACAAAGCGAACCCGAAAGCAATGCTGGGTTAAATTGAGATGATAAAACAAGGCGGAACTTTAACGCATTGTACGCTATGGGCTGCGGTAGTGTGAAATGAAATTTTCAGGGGCGGATAAATGGAATAAACGGAATGTGTGTGCGAAATTTAAGGAAGATATCAGCTGTAGCCAGCATTCTACATATAAAAATTACCCGGTTTCAAGAATTTTGTTAGGCTTTTTACCTTTATAGCAGTGTTTCGGAAGCCCTTCTATGTAATAAGAACACAATAATAAAGTAAATACAAACATGGTTGGAAAAGCTGCAAAAACAATTACAAAACAATTTATATTCGACTCTCAATTAAAAAAAAATTGAGCAAATAATTTATATAACCGTTAAAAAATACGTTTTTTTCAAGTTCAAATTTTTTGTCACTGTCTTCTTTTGTTATCTATGAATAATCTGAACGTATGCATAAAAGACAAAAAGAGTTTTTTCGCCTCTTTGAGAATTCTCTGTCCTTTGGGCTCAATAAAGTATTCACATGGCTTATTAATTTTGATGAATACTAACACAAATAGTGTCAATAATTGCCGTAAAACACACAATGGAAAAAAATTTAGTTGGCATTTTTTGAGCTTCAGTCGAGATACTGAACGGCTTTGTTTGTGAGAGACCGCGCGAAATGAGGAGAGTCGGATAGACAAAAAATGGTGGGCCCACACTTGCGGTCAACCACCTTGCGAGCAGCTACTAGTCGTCCCAGAGGGTGCGTGCACTTTTTGTCGTAGGCCGCACTGTGCACAAAGTTCCCTTTTTGCGGGGTGCATTTGGGCTTTTGCACTGTGCCACCGGTTAGCGCTGAGACGCAAGCTTTTCTCAATGGAGCCGGCGCGAATTTTTAGAAATTGCACAGTGCAAAATGTTTCGAAACGGATCGGGTCGCGCGGCGAACACAAAACTTTCACTGTGCGGTGCAAAAAAGGCGGAAAAAAGTGTACGCACTTTCTGGAACGAGTAGTAGAAGAACCACTGAGATTATGCCGGCATGTTTGAAAATCAGCCAACATTTGCTTATAGCAACAAATTCAAACAATAGATTTGGCAGTGAGACGTTTTAAATTAAGTTTCCTGAAGAAGAAGTGCCCTATAAGTACCAGAGAGTTGTCAATGCAAAATTTCTGCCATTCTACGTGGATTACGGAAGGAGAATCGTAATTCTAATCGAAAAATGTCGACTGCCCGCAAAGTGTTGCCCGCAAGTGTCGCGACGCCAAAAAAGCAGGTTCGTCCGTAACTTTTGGCATGGTTGTAGATTTACTGCGAAGTTAAGAGGGTGTAACACAGAATAAAAGGTTTTTAGGGCCTCTAAATTTGCTATGGTAATTAGAAATCAAAAAAAGTACATTATCAAACATTTTTACAGTAAAAAATTACTTTAGTTCCATTAAGAGAGTCTGTAAAGAGAAATCAGAGGAAAGCAACATTCTTTCAGCTTTGCTTGTTTTCTTCTTTCCATTTTGTTTAAAAAAATCTGACTTGAACCGTGAGTTTGTAAAATCACAAAACACAGTAGATTTGAAGACAGAGAAGAAGTGTACAATACATAAGATAAGAAGATTTGATGTCAATTTAATAACGCACCATTGTCATTTTCGAGTGTGGAAAAAAATAAAAAGTAGAGTTTTCTTTACGGATTTTTGGCGGATTCTCCCCGAATACGGCATTTTCTTGGCTTCCCAGACCTCTTTTCGCATTCATGGCTTTGTGTTTGATATGACATAAATAAGAAGGGAACGACATAAATAACAAGGCGCAATTTATGGAACTTGAGAAGGGCGGAGTGGAATTGGAAAAAAAGGTTTGAATTAAAAGCAGAAAAAGTGATAAAAAAATCAGTTATTACATGTAAACTTTATAACAAGAGGTTTTTTGACGCTTTTATTTGATCTTAGAGAAACGTTTTTTCCAACAAACCATAAAAAATGACATTATAAAACTTGAAAATCGCAAAAAATTTGTTAGGTCCCACCGAGATTCGAACTCGGGTCGCAGGATTCAAAGTCCTGAGTGCTAACCGCTACACCATGGAACCACATATCTTTGAGGGCTTTAAATTGACACCTGTAAAAGCATAAAACGGGCTGAGAGTTAGTAAAATTATTAATTAATTTAGCTGGTCCTTCACCTTCTTCCTTTTAAGGCCCTTTCCGAAAAAGGTGAATACACAGAAAGTCTCAAAAAAGGTGAATACAGAGAAAGCCTCAAAAAAAGCCCTGTTCGAACCGCCTCTGGGAATGCTTTGAAACAAGTTCGGGAAAAGTTTATTTTCGTGTGAACAGAAAATTATTTACACATACACCCCATTCCGAGCCCATTGCCCCGGGCCGTTTTCCCGTCCTCGCAAATATGCTGGAAATGGACTTCCGCTAAACGAGGTAAACGGCGGGTGCCGAAGAACGTTTTTTTCGAAAAACGAGTGGAAATGACAACAAGATTAAAAGTTAATTCAATATGAAAACGGAGTCCTCTGGTGTAAAAGGAGTGCAAAGTGCTTCGTTGTGGAAAATAACAATTTTATTGCCGTTCGAATTAATGTTTTGAGGAAAGTTGTAAATATTGTTAAAAACAGAACAAGCAAAAAAGTCAAGCCTAAGAAAACCAGCTCCAAGTTCATAAAATTATTGGAATTTTTTGAATGTACCTGAAGTCATTCGTTCGTTGTGAGTGGCAGTGAAGATATTAAACAGCTCGCGTGATGAGAGATGACGCAAAATGAGGAGATTCGGCCATGCAAGCAATTTTGGCGCTATGACTTTTCGGGTCAGCGACAGGGATCAGCAATACTATGAATCCCGTCGGTTCGTCGTTGTTATTGCTACGCCGATCATCGCGCTGCAAATGGGCTGAACACTTATCTATTTCCAGTGGGGCATTTAGAGTTCGATGACGATGATCGGGAGCATCAGAGGATCATTGTGGAAATGCCTGCGAACATGGCTGTGACCGGGCGGGTCCTGCGCAACTCAATCGAGCTACGACTTTTCGGGTCAGCGATGCTATGGATCTAGGAGAAGGTTTAGCTAGTAGAAATAATAAGATTTATCGGGTCCTAGGATAGACTAACACTGACTTTGAGGCATGCACGCACATCGATAACATCTAGATAAAAGTTACGGATCATCGTTTTTTACCGCAAAGTGTGGTCTTTTATATTTTACAATAACTCAGGGTAAAGAAAACTAACGTTAGTAATAGCTAAAATTAGAAAAAGTGGGCAGATTGCAAGTCTTCCCCAAGTCTCCGCCGACCCTTCGTCGAGCGTCCGCCGAGCATCCAACGGCTTTGTCTTTTGTAGGATCAAGACAGTTATAAGTGCTAAAAGGTTTATACAGAAATTTTGAAAAATATTACCAATTTATTTCAGACTTTATGTCAAGAATCCTCGACCTTTTTTTGCAAAGCGGAATTTATAAAACTTAGTGCGCGTGTGATGTATGTTTTCTGAGCTGCCTTACATTCATCTTCAATAATATTCTAAAAAGTCCGATTCGGTAGTCTTCCCGATTGTCCTTCTCCACGCAAAAAAGACCTTTGCGTTCGTAAAAACCCCTCGTTTGACCACTTGAGTGTCTTTTTTCGATATTTTCACCTCAAAATTCAATTAAAATCCGATTTTTTTATTTTAAAGGAAAAAGTTTGCGTTTGCGTTCTTAAATTTACACAAAAGAAATGAAATACGAACCTTCCCAGAGGCTCATAAAATTCGAAAAACTGAATATTTATTTGTATTGTTGATCTGACTCATCACGAACGTCTAAGATTTTTTTATACTGACCTCTCGAGTCGTGGTCGGGGGGTTTTTTCCAATTTTTCGTTTGGCCTATGCGTTGGGTAAGCATATAAAGGTGGTCATATAAATCTTATACTAAAATTTTTTTTCCCAAATCGCGATTTTCAATGCACAAAAAAGTCGACGGCCAAATCGAAAAATTGGCGTCAACTTAATTTTTTCAGCATCGAATTCTGAAATGCGGTGCTAACTTAAGCACTTAAGTCTGACTTAAGAGTTTGTGCATTGATTTCGAAAAACTTAGAAAAATGCACCGGATTTCAGAATTCGGTGCCGAGAAAAAATTAAGTCGACGTCAATTTTTCGATTTGGCCGTCGACTTTTTTGTGCATCGAAAATTGCGATTTGGGAAAAAAATTTTAAATATTTATATGACCACCATTATATCATAAGGCTAGGTTTTTTGTTTTTTGCCTTACGTCACGCTAGGCATGGCTCCGGGCCGGGCTTTGCAAAATTTTCCGGCCCGGGCCGGGCCAAATAATTTCTCGGCCCGGCTCCTTTTTTAGGCCGGAAAAAAGGAAAAAATAACCTTTTTCAATCGCATTTTTCAGTTTTTCGAACACAATGCTGATAGCGAACGTAAAGTGATCTTATGTACCTAGGTTTTGCCAAATTTTTCTTTACATTTTGCGAAAATGTGCCATCATTTTCCTTTCATTTCCCGCTTTCTTTCTTTCCAACCTAGTATAAAAATTTTCCGGGCCGAATCGAGCCGTGCTTTTCAAATTTTCCAAGCCCGGGCCGGGCTGGGCTCGGAAACTTAAGCCCGGGCCGGGGTGGCCCGGGTTGCAGCCATTCTTACGTCACGCGCGATTCCCACTTTGCAGCGACAAATCATTTTTTCAGAGTGCGGCAGAATTTGCGACTGCGATAAATTTTTAGAACTTTTTTGTGTCGAGTCTCATCTTCGAGAAAATTAACCACAATATGTGCCAAATTTAATCAGACTCTGAACATCACGTCATATGAGACGTGTTTTTAATACATATTTAAATTGTCATGAAATTTTCGAAATTAAAAACTCTTTCTTTTTTTATCTTTTTATCCATCAAGAACTTTTTATCCATCATAAATCCCCAAAAGTTTGTAATACTGTTCCGTTCGTCATAATTTT